GCCGATTAAGGCTGGGATGGAACACTGTGGGCCAGGGTATTGCTTTCTTCATGGTTATGACAAAAATACCTGATGAACCAACATAGGGAAGAGCTCATGGTTTGCAGACCCAGCTCATCAGGATGGGAAGGCACGGCAGGAGCATGAAGCAGCTGGTCACGTCACGTTAGCAGTCGGGAAGCAGAGAGAGACCAAGGCTGGAACCAGCTCCTGTTCTCTTTTCTGTTCAGTCTAGGACCCCAGTTCGTGGGAGAGTACCACTCAGTCTGGCTCACCCCACCTCAGTCAAACCTCTCTGGAAACACCCTCATAGGCACAGCTCTGGGTGTGTTTCCTCTGTGATTCTAAATTATAACCCCCACAGCCACGATGGCATCTTCCGTGTGTAATGTTCCACGCCTGAAAACAGTCTTTACCGTGTTTATCACCTCTGAACACGGTGTAGTGAGCACTGGCAGATATTCAAGGTGCTTTGCTTATACTGACAGAAATAGACTTTGGACACTGTTGTGTGAACTGAGGGGGCCTTGTGGAGGTAGAAATTCCCTTGATCAGAATGATTGACACTGCATCAGATGCGCCTAGGCTAAGTAGGTCATTCTTCACAGTGTAATTGTTTGAGCAAAAGGTAAGTCCAGTAAAGAATTGGGAACTAGCAGAGCATCGTCAGAAGATGAAATAAGATGATTTGTTGGGAGACTAGAATGACCAGAGGAGCCAGCCATGTGTGAACCACCCTTTCCTCCTGGGATCCTTAGACCACCATCCCTGACCTCGGGCTTTTTGTTCGAGTCCATGCTCTGCAGGTGTAACAGAATTCCATGGTTGGAAAATAGAAGACAGGGGAGAAGGAAGGAGAAAGAAAGGAAGGAAAGACTGGAAGGGAAGCAGGGAGGGAGGACAAAGGAAGGAGGACGGAGGGAAGGAAGGTGTTTTCTAGCTATGGAGCTAGAAGTCTAAGAGTAAGGAACTGTGCCACGCAGGGTCCCCGAGCTGTGTCATAACGTGGTGGGGAGGCAAGGCAGGAGAAAACGCAGGCTAACCTCTCCTCCCTGTCAGGAGCTCAGTCCTGCAGTAACATTGGAGCCTGTTGGGAAGGGGAGGGGTCACATGATCCATTTGTGAGCACCCTAAACTTTTCGAGTGTTGAAACTCACTTTCAAAGCGCTACAACCATGTGTGTGAGTCATTCTGAGTCCATCAACCATGTGTCACTAATTCTGAGTCCAACAACCATGTGTCAGTCATTCTGAGTCCATCAACCATGTGTCAGTCCTTCTGAGTCCAACAACCATGTGTCAGAAGTTGTGAGTCCAACAACCATGTGTCAGAAGTTGTGAGTCCAACAACCATGTGTCAGTCATTCTGAGTCCATCAACCATGTGTCAGTCATTCTGAGTCCATCAACCATGTGTCAGTCATTCTGAGTCCATCAACCATGTGTCAGTCCTTCTGAGTCCAACAACCATGTGTCAGAAGTTGTGAGTCCAGCTAGAACACTGGCATAGTGCGGAGCCAACCCAGGTCCACACACTTGTGCTCGTACACCAAGTGCCTCTCCTTGTACTGAGTCTACCTCTGCAGATTCTATTGGGCCATTCAGGTGTGCAAATGGGCTTCATCTAGAAGTGCAGTTATGGCTGAATAGATGCAGCTACAGTCTGGAAAAAAAAAACAGCTGAAAAAGAGGCAACCTAATAGCCAGGTGGTGATAAGTGCATGGAGGAAAAGGCATCTCTATGAGTTCGAGGCCAGCCCGGTCTGCAAAGTGTGTTCCAGGATAGCCAAGGCTACACAAGAAACCCTGTCTCCAAAAATACCACCAAAAAAAAAAAAAAAAAAAAAAAAAAAAAAAAAAAANTTTTTCTCTCTTTTTTTTTTAAATATTTATTTATTTATTATGTATACAATATCCTGTCTGTGTGTATGTCTGCAGGCCAGAGGAGGGCACCAGACCTCATTACAGATGGTTGTGAGCCACCATGTGGTTGCTGGGAATTGAACTCAGGACCTTTGGAAGAGCAAGCAATGCTCTTAACCTCTGAGCCATCTCTCCAGCCCCCACAACTTTTTCTCTTAAGAGGAACAAGATGGCATCAAGTATAGCCTCACCTTTGTGACAGGACTGCGAAAACTTCTGGATAGAACCAGATAGAACCTGCTCAGAGCTGGGCGGAAGAGACGCCCAGCATAATTGCCAGGTGTCGCAGACGCGGGGGGGTGAGAGAGGAGCTTGGATCTTGCAGTTCTTCCTCCAGGCGCACACATACACACACACACACACACACACACACAACGCACACAGTGTGTGCTGCTGGTTTCTTTTTGTTGTTTTTTTTTTTTTGTGTGTGTGTGTGTTTTTGTTTGTTTGTTCGAGACAGGGTTTTTCTGAACCTTTGGAGCCTGCCCTGGAACTAGCTCTTATAGACCAGGCTGGCCTCGAACTCACAGAGATCCGCCTGCCTCTGCCTCCCTAGTGCTGGGATTAAAGGCGTGCGCCACCACCGCCAGGCTCTCTGAGTCTTTTGGCTTGGTTTACCCCTGCCATCTTCTCAGTTAGCTCAGCAAGGTAGACAGATGCTCAGTAAACACTTCCTGGATGAGATAAAAGGTACGATAACAGGGTCATTTTGGGGGACGATGGAATGACCAAAGGGGCCAGTTTGAACTCTTGCCTTGTGGGTTTGTTGGATCTGCATCCCTGACCTCGGGCTTTTTGTCCTGCTTCTACTCCAAAACTTGTATGTGATCTTCGGCAAGGAACTCACCTTCTCTGACGTCTGGATTAGTGATATCAAGGGGTGTTTTATGTCTAAGCTTGCTTTACCTGTAGTCTGTGGTTCTGCCTTTAATAGCATAGTTGGCTTTTTTAATCCTAACTAACTGCACATTCGAGATGGGAATTTTCCAGGGGAAGACCAAGTTTGCCTGTTTAGCCATGACAAGGGATGGGAGTATGAGGCACAGAGACGACTCTGATGGACGCACAGATCAGGAGTCACACGGTGAGGGACATAGCTGTGGCACAGAAAGAGAGGACCTGAGTGCGCATGCCTGCTCTAAAGTTCAAAGTAAATGCCGATTTCTTCCTGTCAGTCATCCTCCGCCAGGATGAAAAGCCGGCTCTGTCCGGCTACAGCCACCAGTGTGGGAAGGCAGTTCGTCTACCCAGCCGTCCCTCTGGCAACCCCTGGGATCCCCACCTCTGTCCTTCACTGCAGGAGACTCCCAGAGGAGTCCACTTGGGCCTGCTGGACCTGGCCATCATGCCCTCTCATCAGCTGACCGGTTTTCCTTTTCCCATTCACTGTTTTTCTTAATGCCGGCAAAATACCTAACAAAGCCCCGAGGAAGGCAGGGTTTATTTCCAGGAAGAAAGAGTGATACAAACAGATTCTTTCTCATTCCACACTCCCAGGAAACATAGCATCTGTCAGGATTGGACAGGACTCACCCACTCAATGTATAGTTCTTTTCTTTGAGAGAAAACAAAACAAAAAAAAATCAACTTATATTTGCGGGCATTACCTGTAGGAATTGGGATACCACAGACACAGAGAGGTCTGGGCTGAAAAATCAACAACAACAACAAAAAAATTCTAAAGATCGAAGGTGGAAAAACTCCAAAGCAGGTTTTGTGGCTGGCTAGGAAGGGGACCTTAGGATATTCTTCCCTCACTTCTTGTGATGGCCACTCTCAGTTTATCAGTGTGACTACATCTGGAATCAACTAAGACCCAAGCAGTGAGGAATTTTCTTGAGTAGATCTTTTGAGGTGGGAAGACCCCACCCCAAGTCTGGATCATTCAAGGTCAGAATACCCACCCTAAATCTGGGCCACACCTGCTGGCGGCAGACCACATTAAAGGACACAGCTTCACCCTCTCTGTGAGTACTCGGCTCCTTATCTGAACTCAAACTGGGGAAGTTTGCGATACAGTTTCCACGTGTTGATCAAGAAAAGTCTGGAAGGAAAACAGAAGAGAGGGCTCCTGGTCAGTAGCAGCCTGTCTGTAGGGAGCAGCTGCCTGTCACTAGGAGAGGTGACCTTGAGCTAGTGAGAGGACTCAGCAGGTGAGGAGGAGTCCCGTGAACGCCTGAGGACCTGATTTTGTTCCCTGGAGCCCAGGTGAAAATGGGAGTGTGGAACTGACTCCACAAAGGCATTGTTCTCAGACTTCTGCATGGGTGCACCCGCTCCCTTCCCCATGTGTGCACATTAGTATATGATAAGTACATTATGTACTAATATAATAATATTATATAATAATAAATGCGTTTTCTATGATGAGAGCTTATAAAACAGAGCTTAATAGCGGGGCTGTGGAAGGGGACAGAGTATCCTTCCTTGTTTGGCCATGAGAGTAGATTGTAGAAAAACCAATACTAAGAAGTACAATCAGCCTGGCTGGGCTAGGAATAGCTTCTATGTTGTTCTTACAGAAATGGCTTTGCAGGGGCTAGAGAGATGGCTCAGTGGTTAAGAGCATTGCCTGCTCTTTCCAAAGGTCCTGAGTTCAAGTCCCAGCAACCACATGGTGGCTCACAACTATCTGTAATCAGGTCTGGTGCCCTCTTCTGGCCTATAGGCATATACACAGATAGAATATTGTATACATAATAAATAAATAAATATTAAAAAAAAAAGAAATGGCTTTGCAGAGTCTCTGGGAGTTTGCTCTGCTCTGTTTTCTCTGCTCACTTGTCGAAGGTGGGATCGAGTCCATGCTGGGCAAGAGCACTACATCTGAGCCACTGAGCTACCCTCTCAGCGTGTCCTCAGCTCTCTGGACCATGACCTTGCACTGTAGGGCAGCGAGTCCTTCCGGCATCTTCCAAACCCATCACCTCGCTTCTACCTAAACCCACCGGCCCTTGGCATTGTTTGATCTTGCACGCCATTCGGCCTGACTTTGGCCATGGCCACTCTTCCTGTGGACCTCAGCCTGGACCCACTTTGTGAACGCCTTTAACCAAGCACCTGTGCTGTGTCCCCACAGGTCTCCCAAGCAGCCTCGGACCTCCTGGCCTACTGTGAAGCCCACGTGCGGGAGGACCCCCTCATCATCCCAGTGCCTGCCTCGGAAAACCCCTTCCGGGAGAAGAAGTTCTTCTGCACCATTCTTTAACGCCCGTGGTGACGAAGATGCAGCAGGCTCTTTCCTGCAGTAAAAGTCCCGTGTAGAGACGTGCACGCTCCCGTGTAGAGGCATGCCACCCACACGCACCCCATCTCCGTCCGACCAATCATCATCTGGGCTCAGCTCGGTTTACCATATTTCCTTCATGATACCGTTTCTTCTTTTTTATTTCATTTTTGTTATTTCCATCCACAGAGAAGAAAACAGTCATTTTTATAGCCAATAACAAATGTGCCATGTAAAAGTGTGGATTTAAGGGTCTACAATTTTTAAATATTCATTCCCAACTGTAGATATATCCAGCTAATAAATTTCAGTGTAACTCATTGAAACCAAAACCATGCCCAAGTGTCTCCCATGCACTGTGATTCAGTATCAAACGAGAGCATATCGGCCAGCCACAGGTGAGGGTGAGGTCTCCTTCTCCTCTGGCATCTCCGTCAGGGGCTGTGTGCCAGGCCCTGGCTATGGCTAATGTCTCCACCTGCTTCTCACCGAACATTCCAGAGCTGATGTTTCTGAAAAATGCATTTGTGGTATAGACACCAAGGCAGCCTTGACTGTAGATACCAGGACAGCCCCACTGGCCACCGCCTCAGTCCAAATGCCACTCTTCCTGCTTGGTGTCTCTAGTAAGGCGAGGAGTGCGGTTCCGGGCCCTCTGGAGTCTCAGCAGAGTCCTCCCTGCCCTGAGATAGTGGATCAGAGTGAGTCAGAGTGAGTCGCGTTGCCGCGCACCGATCTGAGACATGACGGCTGCTGGCATCGCTGCTCTAACCATGAACCTTACAGGGTGGATCTGGCTTAGAGACCGAGTATCCGGGGGACAGAGAAACGACACTTGCTCAAGGCTGCAGACAGAGTGTCGGCAAACCACAACTTCCATGTGTGGGTAGCTCATCCCTAAAGCTCTTCCTGAACCCCGGAAGTGTGGCCGCCTGTTGCGGGTGTACAGCACCATAAACAATACCTAACTAGCTGCACGCCAGGAAGGAAGCAAACACATTTGCCCACCAACTGGCTGTCCCCTCTCTCCCACCTTTGCTGGGAGAAGTCTCACCAACCTTGATTCTGGTCATGTGTGATAGATGACATGTGGGTTCTCCAAGACCAGATAGCAGTAAACCCTGGGGGTTCCCAGCACGAGGTTGTGGGCCCCACCTAGAGTACCCCCTTGCCCTCCTGATAAAAGCATGGCTGCTGAGGTCTAGCGAGGACGTTTGCTTTGTAGATTTTTGGAAATTGCTGCTCCTCTGGCTCTCGGAGAGGCTTGCTGTGCTGCTGGGCAAGCCGTCGTGTGCCAAGCTGTTCCAACCAGCAAACTGTGGACAATGTTAATCACCCCTCTTGCTCTTCTGCCAGGGCAGAAACTACGTAAGGCTCTGATTATCCTTGAAAACCAAGATATGCTAGATGACAGCCTGTAATGTTGGGACGAGTATTTGACTTCATAGATACCATGCTTCTGATGAGGAGGAATGTAAAATGTCACTTTATTATATTATCATGGGTGTGTGCCTTGCTACCCTCTCTTGCAGCTTTTGTGGAAAGCGTTCTAAGTTTTGCTACTGTACACGAGATGAGAGGCTAAGATTCCGTGAGGTTTGGTTGGGCTATAACAAGATCTCTGTGGCCCACGTTGGCATTATTAACCTGACAGAGTACGTCATGATCCGCAAAAGCCCAGGAAGTGGGACAGCACCGAGGGTGGGAAAATAGATCGGGAGAAGAGAGAGCTTTAGTCTCCGGCCAAACTGTCTCTGATCTACTGTCCCCCGTTTCTTACGTCCTCCTGTGGACGGTGTGTCCGTACACATGGGATCCATTGAGCCTTCTCACCCCCAACTTCTCTCTACTTATCCCCAGACTTGTTAACTGCCAGAGTCTCTGAGATCCATCCAGTAAACTCATTATTCCATGAAATAGCCTCATTTGGATGCAAATGTTGTGTGAGCTCAACTCCACTCCCGAGTATAAACTCGACAAACTTGTACATAGTGTCAGAAGGAATGTGCTGGAATGTCCATGGAAGCCCTGGTCATAGTCACCCCTAAGCAGAAGGCCCCTTATGCCCGTGTTGAAGGGCTAAGCTGATGAGGGTCATTCCCATGGTGGGCTCAGCTCCACCCACAGCTCACTGAGAGGCTTGCTGGCCTAGTGGAGAAACTGAGAGCAGGCAAGCCCAAGCCTACCGTTCCGTTTTCACACAGCACAGGCCGGCAGGTCAACCCATGCTGATTCAAGGAGGAGCAGTAGCTGCTCTCAAAGGGACAACAGAGGGGGCCACGAGAGGCTTCTGGAATGTTCTGTCTCTGTATCTAGCTGCCTGTCATCTTGTCTAGTTTGTCTAGTTTGTGAAAGCTCTCCCGGCTGTCTACTTTCGGGTGCTTTTCTGTACGTGTGTGATACTTCAATAAAAAGTTGGGTTTTGTGACTACCAACCGGATCCCTCTGTTGTGTTTTTATTTCTTCTTCTTTGGCTCTTTATTCAACGTTTGGCTCCTCTTTACATGTCCTTAATAACATGACATTAAATAACTCCCGTCATTAGCAGGACACTTTAAGGGTGTGTTTGACAACATTTTGAATACAAAATGCTCGTAATCACCAGCCGTCTGGCTGGAGAACCGGCTGCTGGCGCCGCACAGGTGCTGTGCCCCGGGATTTGTGGGTACCATGTATCTCCCACTGAGTGGTGGAGGTGACATCCTCAGCCATTCTTGCCTGCTCACCCTCAGGAATGAAGGGACAGGATGGCCTTCAGGAAGTCCCGTAATTACAGCAACCTCCAGAGCAAGAGAGCAAGGAAGGACCCTGGTCCTGTGGTGACAAGGATTGACACACAGGCAAGGAGAGCAGGTGCTGCATGCTTCTCCTTGACTCCGCTTCCATGGAGGGCTCCCCTTGCTGCCACCCTGGCATGTCTGAGCTCCGCAGGGCCTCTGCTGTTCCCCTCATAACTCTGCCACAGAGTCCCAGGGAGATCAGAGAGCAGCTTCCGGCTGACCCCACCACCCCTCACAGCAATCAAAAGGTTTTGCCTTTGATGCTGAGCTCTTGCCAGTGCCTGAGGAAGCCAGGAGTTGTCGGCACCCCCACCAGCCTCTGAGAGCCGATGCTGTGGTTGGAGAAGAACAGGGCTGTGGCAGTGGCTTGGCCAGAGTTTATTTAAAATGGCACCCAAGGCCAAAGGCAGCCCCACTTCCAGTCCCCTCTCCCGAGCCGAGCACCTCCTCTACCCAGAGCGGCCGTGGTGGCAGATGAGCTGCTGTCAACCCAGGTTTCACACTCCTGGGTATGAGTGTGGATGGCCCAGTGACAGCTCTGCCTGTCATGCCCTGACATTTGTTAGGGTCTTTTTAATTACTGTCTCTCATTGACCCTGGAGCTCACCGTTTTGGATAAATTGTCTGGCCAGCAGCCCCTGAATCGCTCCGTCTCCCTCCCTTCTTCCCTCCCTCCCTCCTGTCAAGCTGAAGTTCCAGACGTTGCCATCGCCGCCTCCCCCCCCACTTTAGTAAAGGCGCTGGAGCCCCAAACGCTGTTCCTCATGCTGGACCAGCAAGCATTTTCCTCACTGAGCCGCCTCCTCCAGCCCCTCCATTTTTTGGTTTTTAATCAAACTCCTATGTTTGATTCTGCTTTGGTTCTGTTTTGCTAGCTTGTGACATTTCCAGACCCATTTGTGATAATTAACCATAAGCCATTGTCCTAATTCCACGGCTCCAAAGACTTCTCCGTCATGGGGCCACCTCCCATGGCCTGCTCTCTCTGCCATGGGCCTACTCTCCAGTGCTCTGTCCTCCCTCTGTAAACCGTGTGCTCCTCCACGCTGCCATTACTCAAGGCTACCTCACTGGCTATGTTTCTTGTTGACACAGGATCCCTGCTCCTGATGTATCTGTCCTCTGCCCCTCTGTGCCAGGTCTGTTGGTTTTATGGATCTCAGCTCAAGATCAGTGAAAACGCGCCGTCAGGTGGCCACTCTGACCAGCTCAACCCTGATTCTAAGCTTGTCTGGCCCCACGAGTCAGTCTTACGTCTGTGCTCGTATCTCCTCGGCTCTGATGTAAATCCCCGGTGGCCAGAGGTCCTGGTGTCTCTCTCCTTTGTGTCTCCAGCACTGAGTGGGTCACCTGGCACACGAGAGCCCCTCTATAAGTGTCATCTGCGGCAGGACTCAGTGAGAGTGCTTGCCTAGCACAGTCTGTAGGTCCGCCCCCCCCATGAGAAAAGGTGTGACCGTTACTCCTGGTTCAATACCAAGTTTCCATTATCTTTTTGTAAAAAGATCTTTTTTATTTTTTTCTTCTTTTTTTTCCGTATGTTTTCTTCTTGTGACTTAAGTATTGGGGGGAATTTCATACATGAGTACTGTATTCATATCATGTCTACCTCTTCTCCCCCCCTCCAGCTCCTCTTACTTTCTTTCAAATAGCTTACCTTTTCTTTGTTATTGTTGCATAGATAGATGGTTGGGGGGGGGGTGGATGGATGGATGGGTGGATGGATGGATGGATGGATGGACGGACAGACGGACGGATGGACAGACGGACAGATGGACGGATGAATGGATGGACGGACGGACGGATGGACAGATGGATGGATGGACGGATGGACAGATGGATGAATGGATGGATACAAGTTCAATCTGCAGAATCCATTTACTGTTGTCCTTTGTATGTTTGGGGCTGACCACTTAGGACTGGATAACTTGTCAGGCTCATCCCTGGAGAAGTCTGACTCTTGCTCACTGGGCAGCCATTACTAGTTGCCTGAAGCTCTTCACCCTGGTGTGGGCTTGTGGGAATTCTCCCATCCTTACTGGCATATTAACTGGTGTTGCCATTGTGCTGGCCTTTTTTGTGCAACCGTTGCTGAGAGTAGCTCCCCTGTCATACTCAGAAGATATAACTACCTCACAGCAGATTTCCTGTTCCCCCGTCTATCTTACAATCTTTCCAACGCTATTTCGTTTTTTCTTTTTCATATTTTTTACTCCCTCCCTTCTTCCCATTCCCTCCACATACCCTCCCGCCCCACCCCCATCCAATCCTCAGAGAGGGTAAGGCACATTGCTTTGTGGAAGGTCCAAGGCCCTCCTTACTATATCCAGGCTGAGCACAGTGTCCATCCAAAGAGAATAGGACCCCCAAAAGCCAGGACATGCAGTAGGAATAAATCCTATTTATCCTTTCTATAATGGTTCCTGGATGCTGTAAAAGGAAGCTTCTTCGATGGGGGTGAGCGCTGCACTCATCCGTAGGTACACAGTAAGCATTTAGAATGCAGGTAGTAAACAGACTGATTTGAAAAGTGGCAGTCGCAGGTTCTCCTCTAGGGTCTGTGACCTCTCTAGCCATGGTAGCTGGCTAAGTTTACAGTTCTAGGCATGGATTCCCTCCTATTGAGCAGACATTAAGTAGCACTAGATGGCTGTTGGCCATTATTAACTGACTGAATCGTAAAGCAAATGGGTCCACACCACCACCATACTGCCTATTGTTACACAGGAGTTTAAGAGCTGAAAGATGGGGCCTACATGTATGCACACACACACTTACCCCAACATGTGTGCACCCACACACATGCACACTTTCCCCAACATGTATGCACCCACACACTTACCCTGACATGTATGCACACACACACACTTACCCTGACATGTATGCACACACACACACTTACCCTGACATGTATGCACACACACACTTACCCCGACATGTATGCACCCACACACACTTGCCCTGACATGTATACACCCCCACACATGCACACTTACCCCGACATGTATGCACATACTTACCCTGACATGTATGCACACACACACACACTTACCCTGACATGTATGCATCCCCACACACTTACCCCGACATATATGTACCCATATACATGCACACTCACCCCAACATATATGCACCCGAACACATGCACCTTCATTTTGTAAGCTTCTAGGAAACCCCCAAAACCACACTAGTGGCTTCATAGCCTTGCCATGCTTTCTTGCCTCTCACAAGCTGTGAATCACGTGCTTGCTACAAACTTCACTTCACACTGTGTAGCTGAATGCTGGTCTAATGGTGGTAATTAGGGCGGGGGGGGGGGGCTGCCTCTGGGTGAGCAGTGGAGGAGCAGCTAGAACAGGAAAGCAGCATCCCCCCCGGAGAGCCACAAAGGCAGCACCATGTCTTCAGTCAGGGCAGCGTGCATTTGGAGCAGAGGACATGGAAGTGTTTCTGTGCAGAACCAGGCCTGTCATTACCACAGCTGGGGGCTGGCGAGTACGCACTCCCTGGCTTTTCTTTCCAAATCTTTTGGTAAAATCCCCACCACTGACTTGAAGCTTTTTACATTCGTATTCAATTTTATTTTTGTTTTTTGGGGTTTTTTTCTTTGCTTTTAAGTTAAATTAGACTCAGTTCAGTTCCTTTTTAAATATAAACCAACCCTTTTGTACTGGAAGCTTTGAGATCACTATCTCAGTGCTTGTTTCTGGATACAATAATTGTGGCTTTGTTTCAGCCCTGTGCAGCCGCTGACATTCGGATGCGCAGATGCACCTGGGAACAGCCCACTTTCCTTCAGATTATATAGGAACAAGCCAATGACAAAGGACAGGAAGGAACTGGGGAAGTGGCTCTGGGGCAGGGCACTTGCCTGGCACGTGCGAGGCCCTGAGTTCAACCTCGGCACAATCCAATATAAACCAAAAGGACAGGTGGTGCCTGTGTGGGGGACAAATAATGGCCCAACCACTTAGAAGACTGCAAACAAAAGAAACCATAGAGGCCTGGGCTGGGAACTCTGTCTTGGGCTGAACTCTGGGTCTGTTCAGTGCTGGCTCTGCTGATGCCAAGAGCTTCCCCCCACACACACATACACATATATACACACACACATATACACACATACACACATACACACACACACTTACACACTCACACACATATACACATACACACATACACACACATATACATTCACACACACATACTCACACACACATACTCACACACATATACGCACACACATATACACATACACACATACACACACACTCACACACACATATACATTCACACACACATACACACATACTCACACACATATACGCACACACATATACACATACACACATACACACATACACTCACACACACACCACCCTGCTGCAGTGGTCATGTGAGGACAATAGCAGCCTTCTTATAAGAGCTCTTGAATATCCAGAAAATAACACAAGTGGATAGTGCTGCCTGACGTCACGTGTGCTCAATAAATAGACATTGATTTGTGATTAGATTTGCCTCTGTAACAATTTCTGTGGAAACTAGGTCCTGCGGAGATGCAGGATTGAGAAGAAAACTGTACCACTGGTAAAGACGTACTGAAGAGAAGAGAGAAGATGGCACATGC